TAAAGTTAACGAGAGAGTGTTACATCAAACATAACTCTCTCATATTACTTCAAGGAAACGTCGGGAGAGTTAAGAAATTGGGTGTGGTCATTGGGGGAAGTGGGCGTGGTTTGGGCGTGGTTCGAACATAACTCTCCGAAATCATAACTCTCCGAGATAACTCTCCGGTTGGTAACTCTCCCTTTAGTCATACCCTTTTATAACTGAGTGGTCGCATAACACGTAATGTTGCTGTCAGTAACAATTTTTGAATAGTTTTTGAAGTTTATCCAACATAAATGCGCTTTTGATCTGCAGATCTCGTTTAATAGTAATAAGTTGATGTTTATATTAATTAAAATATGAATGTTTGTCCTCATGTACCTTTCGAGGATCAAGAAAGAAGGGACGCGCTCCTCCAATCGATAAATTATTCTCAAAAAAATAATTGAGCTAGGTGAAAAAGGGTCGCATACGGAGCCCTGGAAGGGACATTGCACCGCAAATATTTTGTTGCGCTACAATTTTATTTATTGCGCGATAATGTTCGTTATTGCGCCATAAAGTTTTATTGCGCGATAAATCCAATTATTGCGCAATAAATCCAGTTATTGCGCGATAAATCCAATTATTGCGCGATAAATCCAATTATTGCGCGATAAATGCAGTTATTGCGCGATAAATCCAGTTATTGCGCGATAAATCCAGTTATTGCGCGATAAATCCAATTATTGCGCGATAAATCAATGTATTGCGCGATAAATCTAGTTATTGCGCAATAAATCCAATTATTGCGCTTTAAATCAATGTATTGCGCGATAATTTTTTTATTGCGCGATAAATCTAATTTACGAAATTCTGCGTTTACGAAACTTCTTTTGGAGTAAATTAGTTCAAGTATTGTTGTTTGTTTTAAGCCTTTATTTTTGTTCAAATAAAGCTGTTTTGTATAAAAAAAATCGGCGTTCTTTTGATGATGTAATTTCGGACTTTGGCCTTCATGGCGGCCTTCAATTTGCCTTCAAAGATGCCGGCGAGTTATCGTTCCAGCCGTTATTATGCTAGTCATATTAGAGTTCACTGCTATATACTAATGACGCCAGGTTATTTACAGCTATCTTTACATACTATAAAATTTATTACAGCTATCTTCTTACACGGTCATGAAAGTTATTGAATTTTACAATTCCTAACTTGTACAAACCCTGAGTTCTTATCATTATTAAGATACCAGAAGTGGAGTAGCAGCGCGATAATTTCATCTACTGATTTCTGTGGGAGTCCATTAATTATCATGCCCTTATATTAGAATCAATAGAATGACGGTAATAATCTACCAACTAATCTACTAATTTACCAAATTGGGAAATTGCGATCTTATTTCAGGTGGGGAAACTGCGTTTAACTCGGAATATATTATTAACCCTTTAAAAACCACGGCAAACAATTGTTAAAACATGTGCAGAATATAAGTATGCTCCGATAAAAAAATATTGAAACCGTTTTATTGCTGCGGAGCGAGCGAGCCTGAAGCGAGCGAGCGTAGCAGCAGCCTAATATATGCAGAAAGGGGGTTTTGAACTAAATTTTATTTAGCGCATGGAATTGTGGTCGTGCGCGCTTTCTATGCGCAGAAGACAAATTTTAAACTCGCTCAGTCGCCCGAGTTTGCGAATTTTTATGGAATTTCTAAAGCTTTTTCAAGTCTAATGTCAACCTCGTCCCCAGGGCCTTTTAAAGAAAGATGCGAAGGGCAGCATCGCCTCCTTCCTCAATAGGCCCTGGGGACGAGGTTGGTCTAATGTTACGCTTACATTTGCTTTGGACTTTGGCCACTGTCAGTTCTATATTTTTATAAAGTTTTGGTTTCTTAGTGTAAGTGTAAGTAAGTAAGTGAACTTTATTTAACCACGGTAGACTCATCAGGATTTACAATAAAATAGACAAGGGACATTACAAATAACAAAATATGGAAATACATTATTAATACCTGTTTTCCATGAGTGCCGTGCATTATTAACTAATAATGTAGATAGGAGTAAAAATATTAAAATTATCGAATGAAGTTGCTACAATCAGCCTTGAATTTACGTAAAGAGCTAGCCTGCCGTAATTCTATAGGAAGAGAATTCCACAGTACCGCACCACTGTAACTAAAACTATTTTTCAAATAGTTTGTACGCGGTTGTGGTATTGCTAGTTTGCCGGTGGTGTCTCTCAACGTATAATTTGTAATGTTACTGCGATCAACAAACATTTCGGAGAGGTAATCTGGTGCAAGGCCATTCACAGATTTATATACCATGATAGTTTTGGCAATCTTACGCTGAGATGCAAGATTTTTCCAACCAAATATTTCAAACAGATAATCGGCATTTGTATCATAACTGGATGACGTCAGTACTCTTGCGGCACGATTTTGTAGTTTTTGTAGTTTCAGTCCGCACGAGTACTCCCGCAACTATCCCAGATAACTGAGCAGTAGTCGAAATATGGCTGGACTAGACATTTGTAAATCAGTTGCATTGTGGAAGGTGAAACAAAAGGTCTTATGCGCTTTAAAGCACCTATGCCACTGGCAACTTTTTTACACAATTTTTCAATGTGAACATTCCAGGACAACTTCTCATCGATATGTGTGCCCAGTGACTTTGTGTGAGAGACTTGCCTAACTGGAACGTTGTTAATTGCCAAAGAAGGAGTTGCGTGAAAAGTATTTATCCTTTGATGGGAGCCAATCAACATGAATTCAGTTTTAGTTTGATTTAAAGTAAGCCTATTTGCTGATAACCATTCACTGACATGGGCAAGATCTTCATTAAAGTTATGATTGATATCGTAAATATTATTACTTGCATATGTCAAATTAGTGTCATCAGCAAACATACGTGCACGGGAATGTACAAGACAATTAGGCAGGTCATTGATGGGAGTATCTATTTGGAGCGGGTAGCGGGTCGCGGGTAAAAGGAGCGGGTTGCGGGTAAAAGGAGCGGGTAATTAAAAAAGGAGCGGGTAAAAGGAGCGGGTAATTAAAAATGGAGCGGGTAATTTAAAAAGGAACGGGTAATTTAAAAAGGAGCGGGTCATTTCTCAGGTGCGCCCCGGCAATCACTTGAGCCTGTTTGCTTTCTCTTGGACGACGCTCGAGATTTACTGTGGAGGCATTTATAATCGTTCAAATCATTCATCAATCCTAACCTCTTTATTTGAAAGAATCAGTTCTTTTTTTCTAAAGGTATGTTTCATGTTTTTATTCAACTATTTCAACAATTGCCAATAGAATCATTTTAATCATTTGCCACTTATGATGGCCGCCATGTACGTAAGGCATGTGCGTACGCCGCCGGAAAGACATCTGTTTTTGAGCACTAAATAGCTGTATTTCAACAAGGAGAAAAGCTAAAAACTCTCAACAATACTTAAAATTTAATACAAAACCTGTTTCCAGAAGGTAGAGCAGAATTAAAACTGTTTTCTCAGGAGTCAGAGTGCGAAGTTTTTTTTCGGCACGTTCAAACTTGTGTAATATTTTGAATAGGAAACTGTTACCCAGGACGTTTTTGCTGTTAGTGGATGTAAAATACCATCCAGGAAACCAGGTTTAATTGTTAAAGTTGAAACCTTTTGATAAAAAAAAAATTTTCTTGCTAATTTTCGCTTGAAAACAAACTTTTGACTGAATTTCCAGCTCCTCGAAGCTTTCTCTAGTCCTTCTGAAAGTTAGTTTATTCCGCGAGCCTCCTGAGCTTGGCTTCAAATTTGGCTTTAACCAATCATAGGACTCGATCTCTGGAGTTATCGTTCCAGTTTTCTTATAGCTGACTGCGGTTTAGACTAGTTATAGGTTAACAAAAATACGCTTAAAACGTAAAATCCGGATGGCTAAAAACTTGAAATTCGGATAAATTTATAGTAAAAAACGGTTTATAGTTTCCTTTGCTCTATAAAGTTAGTGATGCATACCACAGTTTGGAGAGGCAATAGCCGAGACCGGCTGTAGATTTTTGAGTAGCACTTGTGTTACAACAATTTTTGTCCATTTGGTGACCCAAAAACGTTCGGTTAGTGCATTGTACATATTTTCAGCACGTCATAGTAAAACATGTTCAGGCTGTTAAATATCTGTCAATTTAACATTTGATAGAATTTTCGAGATTTTTTATGTGCAATCAATGGTTTCACTTAGTAAAAATAGTCCTCATGTTGTTTACACTTTCATAAAAAAATGCCTTTTTTTGCTTTAAAATTCCCCACTGGCGCTTAGCACCTGGGAAATGACCGGCTCCTTTTCAAATTACCCGCTCCTTTTTTAATTACCCGCTCTTTTTACCCGCTCCTTTTTTTAATTACCCGCTCCTTTTACCCGCGACCCGCTCCTTTTACCCGCGACCCGCTCCAAATAGATACTCCCCATTGATATAGATTAAAAATAGAAGTGGACCTAATATAGTTCCCTGGGGAACTCCACATCGAAGAAAATGACTATTCGAAGAATGACCATTAACAAACACATTTGTTGACGTTCACTAAGATAAGATCTAAACCAATTTCAACTAATTTCCGGCTACTCCACTGATGCCATATGCATTAAGCTTACCTAACAAGATTTCGTGATCTACAGTATCAAACGCCTTCTTGAGGTCAAGAAACAGGACAGCATTTATGTTTCCATGATCTATATTATGAGCCCATTCAACTGGTCATAAATTATCCTTTCAAAAACCTTAGCCACAACAGGGATAATGGAAATCGGACGATAATTATCAACGCAATTACGTTTCTATAGAATAGATTGAATGATGATTTATTACAAATGTCAATCAACGTTGTTACATGCTTCGAAGTTAATTATTAACTTATCGCATCCTACAAATACTACATTACTCTCCCTCTATTTTTTTTAACTGAATGTCAACCACTTAATAAAATGTCCTTGCCTTGTGTTCATACTTATGTAAATCAATGTTGTCTGGTGTTTCTCTATTTTAAACGTTTATATCGTTTTACTGTTTATAACATCAAGTCTGGTACTGATATCGTATTACCGGTCTTTTCATTCTTGTTGATCTCCTTACACTTGGTTCTTGCTTTGGTGGTTCCTCTGTTTCCGTCGATCTTCCCGGTGCTGTATTTTCCTGCTCCTCCTCGCTTTCCTCCATTACTACCTTCTTAAAGTGTGAAACGTTTCTTGTCACCGTCTTACCATCTCTTTTAGCTATGATGGTGTTGTGCTTACGTTGTACTACCGTATAATGTTCTGGGTCAAACTTTGATGTTAACTTATTGTTCTTCTTCTGTTTGCAAATGACGATGTCACCCTTTTTGATCCCAGCTTCCTTTGTTCTTTTGTTTCGGTCGTAGTACTCTTTGTTCTCTTCTTTCTTCTGCTCCAAGTTCTGCTTCGCCCTCTTGTGTCTATTAACTACTTTTTTTCTTGTGAGTTCTGGTAAATATCCCCGAATTTGTCTGTTAAAAAGTAGTTCACACGGAGCGACTTTAGTAGTTTGATGAGGAGTTGAACGGTATTGCAGTAGAAACCTTTGCAGTTCTTGCTTCCAATTCTTTCCTTCAATATCAGCTGTTCTCAAGAGTTTTGCGATTGGTTTCATAAATCTTTCTACGACGGCATTACCCTGAGGCCATAGTGGTGTAATTGTTTTCCATTCAATACCAAGGGTTTTAGTGTATGTTTCAAATTATTTCCCATTAAATGGGGGTCCATTGTCAGTTTTTATTTTTGATGGTATTCCATATCTGGCAAATATCGTATCTAATTTTGGTATGCAAGTTTTTGCTTCGGTTGAGTTGACTATTTCTACCTCTGGGAATTTTGAGTAGGTATCGATAACCACTAGCAGGTATTGACCAGTTCGGGGTACTGGACCATAGAAGTCGATTGCTACACTAGTCCATGGTTTGTCTTCGGTTGGTGTTATTTTCATTGGCTCCGGGTTATTACCGTGACCTACTGCTTGGCAAGGAATGCATTTGTCTACCATTTCTTTCACTCGTTTGTCCATATTTGGGTACCAGATCTTTTCGCGTAGTAGGCTTTTCGTTTTCTCAATTCCCTGATGCCCGATATGGCCTAATTTTGTTGCTCTTTCTTGTAATGTTGTTGGAATGACCAGCCGTGTGTTCTTCAACAGTATACCTGCTGATGCATTGTACGTAAGTTCGTCGGCGCAAAGTCTAAACGGTTTAAGATCAGGATTGTTCTCATCCCATTTTCCCTCTTTCAGACATTTCTTAACTTTTTGTAATACTGGATCGTTATGGGTTGCTTTTTTAATCTCGTCAAGTGTCATTGACTTTGGAACTGAACAGTTAGTTACATAGTTCACATATTCTTCTGCTGTTGTACTCGTTATTTGTTCTCTCTCTATAACAGCTGGATGTCTACTTAAGTAGTCAGCTTCGTTTAAGGATCCTTTGCGGTAAATGACTTTGAAGTTGAATGGTTGTAATCGCATCATCCATCTCTCGATGCGGGCTGGTGGTCTGGATCTTGGGTTATTGAATATAGATTCTAATGCTTTATGATCAGTTATCACATCGAATTCTGATCCAATCAAGAACATTCGAAAATGCTCAATTCCCCATACTAAGCTAAGTCCTTCAATATCTGTTTGTGAGTATCTTGTCTCAACTGGGCTGAGTGCTCTGCTTGCATATGAAAGGATTTTGTACTGCTGGCTGTGATGTTCTTTCTGTGCTAGTATTGCACTAATTCCATAAGGGGAGCCATCTACGATTACTAGACTTCGTTTCTTTGTATCGAAATATGCCATAACTGGGGTACTTGTTAGTTTCTTTTTCAGTTGCTTGCTTTAGGTCAATCTTTGAGAAGAATTTTGCTCCATTTACCTCAGCTTTAAAATCTTGTAAAGTTGGCATTGTGTGTCTCTCTCTTTCGATTGCCTGGTTTGCTTCCCTCATGTCTACACAGAGTCTAATACCTCCGTCTTTCTTTGGCGTGACGACTATTGGAGATATCCATGGTGTTGGTTGATTGGCGACTTTCTCGACAATGTCTTGCTCTTCTAGTTTCTTTAGTTCCTTCGAAACATCCTTTCTCACATGATATGGTATACGTCTTTGCCGCTGCATAACTGGTTTGACATCGTCTCGGATATATGAAGTTTAATTTGTTGATTGTTCAATTTTCCTTGCCCCTTGAAAACTGTACTATATTTGTTTATGATTTCTTGTATTTTGGGGTCTTTTGATTGAGGAACACTTGTGTTGATTTCTGGATTGGTCTCGCATGCAGTGCTGTGTGTATTGTTTTGATTTGTCTTTGTTTGTTTATCTTGTTCTGGAAAACCGGAAATTGTATTAATTAGCTGGACCAAGGCCAAATCTTGGGCTGTTTTAGCACTTAGTAAATTTCCTCCTGCACCGTCTATTACATACATTTGCGACACGGTATAACGCTTTTTCGATTCGAGTGTTGCTTGAAATTGTCCGTTTAGAGGCAGAGGTGTGTGAAATCCATATGCGTAGATTTTAGTTGAACTTTTACGTAATGAACTTTTCCTCTTTAATTTCGCGTATGTCGTAGAATCAATGATGTCAACAGTTGCGCCAGTGTCAACCAAAAATAAAACGTCCTGGGGCCGGTTGTATAAAAACGTAGTTAGCGCTAACTGCAGTTAAAAAGTAGTTAAAAAGCCTTAAAAAATAGTTAACTTTAATCACGTAGTTAAGCCGGTTGTATAAAAGTGTAGTTAGCCTTAACTGCAGTTAAAAAGTAGTTAAAGTTCACTATGCTTTAGGGTATAGTTAACTGTCCAAAACGTAGTTAAAAATGGCGTTTGTATAGGAGTGAACAACATTTTTCAGTAAAACAACAATGAAAAACAACGGTTACCTGAGATTTTCAATCGCTATCTTCCCTGTGAATGTTTCCTGACAATATAAACTCTTCAAACGCTATCGCTTTGGTGTTTTTACGAAAACAGAACATATTTTTGCACAGGACGATTTCTCGAAGACGAAGTATGGTCCATTACACCAAGAAACACTGATATATAATTGCCAAACGCTATACCTTGGTTTAACGTAGGCATCTCAAGGAAAAACTGCATTCTTTTATGATTTTTGTGGCGGCTTTTCCTTGTTTTCTTGTATATTTTTCATTGTTTTTCTAGCGTTTTGAATAAAATTCCCGCCTATTTGCAAAATACGAGTCCACAATCATGTTGAAAATGTGTGTCAGCGGTCGTTATTCGCTGCTTACTTTATGTAATTTTGTGTTTAAACGCCCCACGCAAGCCCCACGCACAGTTAACTACGTGATTAGTTAACTATCCGACTAACTACGTTTTGTGCAACGCAGTTAAGTCATGTAGTTAACTAATTACAGTTAAGGATTTAACTACAGTGATTAACGCTAACTACAGTTAGCGCTAATTACGTTTTTATACAACCGGCCCCTGTCCATTTATTTTTACGGTCGCGTGTGTTTGCTCCCTCGTTTCTTGCGATACTGTGTAAACATAATCCTTTTCTTCCGAGCTTTCAGTATTTGGTTCGCTTTGTGATATTCCGACAGCCTTTGCTTGTTGTTTTCGTTGTTTATTCTCATCCCATCGTGATTGGCGCCTTTTGTCTGGGGAGGTAAAACCTTGCGTTTGTAATTTCTCAAGGTTTCCCTTACTTGCGAAAGATTTTCCTCGTGTTCGACAGACTTTAGCGAAGTGTCCCTTTATTCCGCAGTGGTTACAAATAGCAGACTTCGCTGGGCACGGTTGATTGTCGTGTGGATACTTGAAACCGCAGTAATAACACTTTTTCTCAGTGGGCGTTGTCATAGCCATTGCATTTATATTTTCCCTTGTTTTGAATTGTTCTTCGATCCCAACGGCTTGAGCTGAACTAGTTTCGTATTTTCGTCCATCGATTAACATGTTTGCCAAACTATATTTTGGGTCTTGTAGTGCTTTCTTTCGTAATCTTGAAGAAGTGCCGTTCGTTACAATCTGCATCTTAATTTCAAAATCTATGTTTGTAAATTCGCAATATTTTGCCAAGCCTCGTAAACGCGTATGAAATTCGTCGATTGATTCCTCTTTGCCTTGCGTCGCTTGTCTAAAAACATAGGTGCGATATATCACGTTTTTCTCTGGTTCAAAATACTCCGTCAACGCTTTCACTGCTGACTTAAAATCTTTGGTTTCGCCCTCTTCTAGAGTCTTGAAAATTTCGTGTACTTCGGGCCCCGCCTGATACAATAATAAAGCTCGCTTTCTCGCATCGTCTTTAATATCTGCTGCGAGTAAATATGTGTTGAATCTCTCCAGCCATCGTGTCCATCTCGCACTTGTACTTGTAGGATCACTCCTTGGTTCAAAAGCAGGCATAGGCTGTATGTTTTGTGCCGCCATTCTAGTTTTCCGTTATATTTTTCACGCTGTTTATTTTTTACATCCTCGTCGCCATTATAGAATAGATTGAATGATGATTTATTACAAATGTCAATCAACGTTGTTACATGCTTCGAAGTTAATTATTAACTTATCGCTTCCTACAAATACTACAGTTTCCCTTGCTTGTGAATTGGGACAACTTTTGCGCATTTCCACTCATTGGGAAATATGCCTGTGATAATAGAACGATTAAAGATGAGACTAAGGCAGCGTTTACACTGTACCGTTTTCGTAGCGTTCTCGTATTGTTCTTAATCCTCAAGGGAACGCAAGACAATAGTCTAGTTCTCTCGAACAATACGAGAACGCTACGAAAACGGTACAGTGTAAACGCTGCCTAAGGTGTTCGGCGATTAAATCAGGGCACTTTCGAAGTAATCTAGCGGAGATTTTGTCCAAGCCAACTGCTTTTGACCTACTTAGTTTGGACAAAAGTACAGAAACTGTTAAGGAATTTGTTTCTTTCAACTGGAACGTCGTATTAGTATTTTGACCAGATAAATATTCGTGGTAGGACCGGTTGCCTTCATTGAAGTCTATGTTATCCGCAAGTTTGGGGCCGATGTTAGAAAAATATTCATTAAATGCATCAGCGATTTTATTAGAATCATTAATTAAGTGACCGTTCAAATTAATTTCGGTAATTTGAGCAGTTTTTCGATTCTTAGATGTAAGTTCGTTGATAATATTCCAAGTCTTTTTAGGGTTTCCTTTATTTTCGCAGAAAGCATTTTTGAAATAAATTTCTTTAGCACGAAAGATTTTGTGATTAACTGAATTACGCATTTTCTTCAATGAAGACCAATCCTGAGGATCGTTGGAACGAATCGCTTTGATTTTTTGAATATCTCTTTTGTGCATTTCGTCCTTCAGGTGAGACGTAATCCAAGGCGATTTAGAAGCCTTGACACGTTTTGTACAAAGTGGGGCATGTTTATCGACAACAGAATTGAATGTAGTTTTCCAAGCATGCCACATATCATTAGGATTTTCAAGTTCTATAATATGGCTCCAATTTTGTAGACTAATATCATTACGAAATTTGATGGAGTCAAAGTTTTTAAACTTTCTATAGTTTACCGTTGAGTGACCCCTTGTCGGCAGACTAATAGAAAGCTTTCGAAAAGCATAAATGAGACTGTGATCGCTTATACTAACATGAGAGACACCAGAGCAAATTACTTTATCAGGAGTATTTGTAAAGATATGATCTATCAACGTAGAGGAGGAATCCGTGGTTCGAGTGGGCTCATTTATCAGCTGAGAAAGATTGTATAGTTCAGCAATATCAATGAGCAGCCTTGAACTATGATCTAGGACAGTAGAGCTGAGATCACAATTCAGGTCACCCATTAGATAGTACTCCATATTTTCAGCATCAAGTATACCTAGGAGAGATTCAAAGTGACTGAACTTTACCGCTGGTGAATTAGGTGGCCTATACCATGTCGCTATGAGAGAAGGCTTGGCTCTTGGTTTATTAATTAAGATGCACAAGTTTTCTAATTGATCAAATGATAAATCATGCCGGACCGAAAAATTTATACAACTACGGATATAAAAACAAACACCTCCGCCAAATCTACCATTAGATTCTCTATCACGGCGAACAATTTCATAGCCATGTATATGCACTTCATCATCACTAACCGTAGAGTCAAGCCTTGTTTCATTTATAGCCAGTACATCAATCATATTATTGGCTAGGAGGATTCTGAGCTCCTCAATGTGCTTAACTAAACTAGTTACATTGAGTGATGCTAGTTTAAAACCACTCATCTTAGGCAAGAGTAGGTTTTGTTCATTAGGCATATTAGTTTGTAAAGATTGCATATTATATACTGATTTAGCAACTCTAAACGAGGCGGCATTATGTCAATGGTCTAAGTTATTTGTGAACTCAATAACATTGTTTTGGAGTGATAAACTACCTAATTTGTTTAAATGCAAACCTCTTCTGTTCAAATGACTAGTATTGATGTTTGCATTTCTTAGGAAAGGAATCTTGTTTACTTGACAATAATTGTCTAAGATAAGGTTAACTTGCTTAACCTTGGTAGCTAATTTCGGACAGTCATTCCGGTCTAGCAACGCTGATACACCTACCATAGTGTTTGGAGAATCCTCTTTTATCTGAGTCGTCAGGTTTAAAATTGAATCCGCGATAACTTTCGGTGTAGAATTTTTTAAGCCATTTGTGCCGACATGAAGAATGACTTTATTCGGTGACTTACGAGTAATAGGTTTGATAAAGTCTTCCATATCCTCAACGGTTGCACCCGGGAACGCTTTCACTGTTTCACAACGTAGTGATGACCAACATCATCTTTACTCATATATGCTCCGACCATATTCTTTACTAAAGAATCACCGGCAATCACAACAACATCTTTCTTTTTATTCCTGGTTGAAGATTTACTTACGGTGACATTGACCTCTTGTGTTGCGTTAGCACCAGCTATATTCTTGTCAGGAGGCAAATAATTGTTAGGTGATGAGCCCCCGCTGGGTGATAAGGCATCATTAGGCGATGAAGCGTCACCAGGCGATGAAGCGTCACGAGGTAATGAGGCGTCACGAGGCGATGAGGCGTCCCCAGGGGATGAAGCATCACTAGCTGGAGGATTACGTTGCAATAACTTATTTTCTTTCCCTTTGTTTTTTTTCTCTGTCTCTTTTTTTCCTTTTTTTCACACGCTTTAGAGGTGGGATCCAACACATTTGTTTTATCCAAATTTACTGATGGAATATTTGGGGGGGTTTCGCCTTTACCTTCGCTTAGGTTTAAGAGTTGTTTACTGAGCATTTCAACTGTCTTAATTAAAGAAGAATTATCTCTTTGTAAGTGAATGATTTGCATATTCATGCTTGAATTCGCTAACTCTTCCCCTTCGAGAAAAGCAATTTTCTTCTTAAGATTCGATATTTCAGCATTTAACCTATCAATATCCCGTCCATGCGTGTCACAACAGGCAGAACAAGGGTTGGCAATCACAGCTTTCTTTTTTAAATCAGCAATTTCGATATTTAGCTTATCAATATCCCGTCTATGCGTGTCACAACAGGCAGAACAAGGGTTGGCAGCCACAGCCTCGGGGACAAAAGACGTAATTTCTACTTCTGACAAACCCTGCTTAGTAGCTTCATGGTTACAAGACTCGCCTAGCCCGAGCACATTTTCGACATGATTATTGTTACTAATATTGCAGCAAGAGATATTACTTACTTGCAACAATGAGGTGCATGGTCCTGGCGTTTCATCAGGACTAATATTATCCACTTCAGCGCTTGCTTTGGCCATAAAACATTCTAAGGACTTGTTAAGATCGCTATTTTTGGCTTTCTTCGGGTCGACTGATTCTACAAGAATACCATGTATTCGTATAGACAAATCTTTAGCTTTGGTCCCTTCAAAGAGTATTGCTTCGCTCTTCGTATACCACGTAACTTTAAGTTGATCGCTGTCGAAGCACCATTTTCCGCCACTGGGTGAACGCCATGTCGAACTTTCAGCAGTTTCTGTGATAAATCTGTGTATATAGTCTACAGTATATATAATAAGGTAAATGCGCCTAGCAGTAAACAGACTTGATATAAAATCTCACTAGTCGCTGCGAGTAATCACTGTGCTTGATATAATTTGTGCTCATGCTTACTGTAGTTCTATTTGCTTTTAATGCCCGCAGCAATCCCTACCTTGCAGGTACCCTAGTTTTATTTGCTATATATAGAATGGTAGTAATGGTGGACTGAAAGCCACTGCTTAAAGGGAACTATATAATGTTAAATATTGTCTGAAGTCCTTGTGGATACGCACACATTAATAACATAGTCCATGGCAATGTACAATTTAACTCTGAAGTAATTCCAGCCCTCTGTCCTCCTTCACTTAGTTAGAGAACTGCTTATTGAATAAAGGTATGAAATCAAGCCTGCTTCCCACACAAGTATTTTGCATGCTTCTGGCAAACAATAACTAGCATTGTTTTAACAGTGAATTTTTATTAAAAGCAATGAAAATGATTTCTTCTTCATATGCAGACGAAATGCTAAAATGGAGACAGGCTTAATTTTAAGTGGGGAGCAGGGTACTAACTCTGCACTAATAAAATAGTGCTTATTAAAGACACCAACGAGCAAGATATTAAATTTGAAGATATGGCTAATGCATTTAATTAACGAACATTTTATTAATATTGGTAGTAAGCTGGCTCAACTAATTCCTCAAACTAATTATCCACCTGAGTATTACATTAACAGTGTGGACAAAATATTCACTTTTCGAGAAATAACTGAAGAAGAGGTACTTACACTCTTACTAAACATGTCAACCAATAAAGCAACTGGTATGGATAGTCTATCAATTAAACTAGTGAAGACATCAGCTCCTTTAATAACTGACATGCAATGACCGTAATATTTAACAAATCAATTGTATCTGGAACCTTTCCATGCGAATGGAAAATCTCAAAAGTTACCCCTGTTTATAAGGCTGGACCAAGGGAGGACATGAACAACTACAAACCGATATATGTCATTTCTATTATTGCAAAAACAATGCAAAAGTTGGTCTATAATCAACTCTATGAATATTTTATAAAAAATGACATACTTACAAATTCTCAACATGGTTTTAGACCTAATCATTCCACAGTTACTGCAATGTTGGAAATTGCGAACAAATGGTTTCATAATATTGATATCGGCCAATTAAATGGGGTGATATTTCTTGATCTTAAGAAAGCATTTGATACTGTAGATCATAAAATACTACTACATAAATTACATCTTTATGGGATAAAAGGAATTGCTCTTAATTGGTTCAGATCTTACTTATCAAACAGAAAGCAGTATTGTCGGGTAAACGATCACCTTTCCCACCCACTGGAAATGGTCTGCGGTATACCTCAAGGGTCCATACTTGAACCACTATTGTTTCTTATATACGTTAACGACCTTCCAAATTGCTTAAAACATACAAGATGCAATATGTTCGCTGATGATACACAACTTGATACATCTAGCAATAATATTGATTCGACTGCTAACATTTTGAATGAAGATTTGATAAACGTTTCTGATTGGATGAAGGCAAACAAATTAAGCCTAAATGCTAGCAAAACAGAATACATGGTTATCGGTTCTCATAAAAGGCTTCACCAAACTCAAAGTGATCCACCAATCACTTTGGGCGACAATCAAATAAAAAGAGTCAAAGTTACAAAATCACTTGGATTAATGATCGATGAGACATTAACTTGGGATGAACAGGTTACACTAATTACGAAAAAAGTAGACAAGGGCTTAAATGTCATGCGGAGATTAAGGGATTTCTTTGACATAAAAATATTAACTACCGCTTATCAAACTTTAGTACAACCTTATTTCGATTATTGTTCCCAAGTTTGGGGAGGCCTTGGTACCACACTTTGTAATAAACTTCAGCAATTACAAAATAAAGCTGTCCGTATCATTACAAAGAGTGGGTACGAAGTTCGATCTGTAAATTTACTACACCAACTTGGTCTGCCCAACCTTGAGGAAAGAAGAAATCAACAACTAAATACATTAATGTACAAAGTTAGACACGAAATGGCCCCTTCTTCCTTAAGTGATATTTTCAAAAAAACGAACGAGGTCCATGAACACCAAACGAGACAAGCCAAACATGATTTCCTACCACCGAAGCCTAAAACAAATTACCTGAAAAAGGCACTCAGCTATAGAGGTGCAGTGGCCTGGAATAATCTACCAAGTGAAATTAAAAATTCTGAAACTGTTAATATTTTTAAAGCAAAACTCAAGATTATCAATTGAGAGTACATTTTAATATTGTTAGTATTTGTTACATTAGTAAGTAATATGTATGTAGAATTGAATAGTCTATATGTATATTGCAGATAGTGTTATAAGATGGTTAAACACACGGCCTATTGGAAGATCACATTTTTCTTTTCCTTCTCTTTTATACATAATTAAATTAAATGTAGGTAGTTTGTGAAATAGTACCGTGTTTAAATAAAGTTTAATAATAATAATAATAATAATAATAATAATAATAATAATAATAATAATAATAATAATAATAATAATAATAATAATAATAATAATAATAATAATAACAGTGTTGTAGCATTGCTGATAGTTTATCCATTAGAGTGATTCAATAATGCGGATTGCTAAACATGAGTGGCGGGTCACTGTGTCAGTTTCCTGCCATATTTTCCAAATCCCGTACCAGTTCCAAATATAAATTTTCAGCATCTGTGTGGTTATCAGGAAACAAAAGTCCCCTCTCCTCCATGACAATAAGCGCAAGCTCTTCAAATTCGGGCAAACAATTGGATCGCTCTTGACAGCTCTGTTCATTTATTAATTCTATATCGGCATTTTCCACATTGACCAGGTAGTTGACTGTTCCAGTTGCTTCGGGAATAAAGTACAATGTATCAGGTCGACCAGAAGGCGAGTCTTCATTATGGGATGGCCTGATAACACGAGTATTCCATAGCTTAGCCACCTCGTTCAGCTCATTTTGAAGAACTGGCATAAAACAAAACTTTAAGTATTCAACTTGAATAATGTCTTCATTACAAAATAAGCCACAATATTGAAGATCTTTGAAATAACGAATCCACCAATCTGCACAACTTTGCCTCAACTGGCTCCACCAAGATTCTATGCGTTGATTCGATGTTGATTTTCCATACATAAAACTGTTATCTCCCGAGAAGGAGTCGTCTTGTAGAGATCTAAAATAACATTGTATTGTCGCAATGTTAGTATTTTCTGTGCCTTTGTCACCACGAACAACCCTTGCTGTTCCAGATACATGACGGGCATAGTCGACATAATATTTAGCAACAATGGTTGGATCATTGTTGGAGGAACTAACTTCCAGCCAAAGAATACGGCGACTGTATCCATCTATTGCCCCATGGATGCAAAAGCCGAATGGCTTCAATTTATCGTATCCGTCGATGTGCCAGCGATTATTTGGACCTCTCACTTTGTATCTGCGACGACTAAGTCTGTGTTTTAAACGGGCTTCGACACCATCGGGATCAACAACTAATCCGTAATTATTCCTTAATCGTTGGTGCATTGCTCTGTAGCCAATAATACTTCCACTGCCATTTAGTTCTTCATAACGGCATCAAGAACGTCTCCTACATTGCTTCGGTTCAGTCTTCTTCCTAGACGCAAATGGCGAAGAATCCGTTTTAATTGACGCACGCTGAGCGTCACACCATGGAAGCTGGCAAGAAATGCGACAATTTCAATGTATGACAGACCAAGCCTTAAAATAATCAGTGATAACGGAATTTCTGTCATTGCGAATATGTCGAAAAAATGGCAAATAATGTTCCAGTGGAAGTCCTTCGACTGCTACGAGGATGATTGTTACGAATATAATCAAAATATCACCTTTAAATTTCATGTTCACGAGCCGAAACGATACGTTAATTGAAATTAAAATAATAATTAAACTAAAATACTTCTTTTGCTATTTGTTTCTTCGGATAGCTATGTTTACGGGCATCAACTATTTCGCTGACCTCAGAATGACATTTCGTCAAAACTTTTTTCTTCAAGAAAAACAAATTTGGAGTGGGGTTAGGTTAGGGTTAGGGTAAGGATTGGGGTTATTGTTAGAGTTGGTGTTTGTGTTTGGAGTAGGGTTAGTGTTAGTGTTAGTAAACCCGTTGCATTGTTACGTTTTGTCACTCT